GTTCTGTTTGTTTGACTACTAGATTTAAATGCTATTGGGTTTTTTTGGGGGGACTTGTCTAGGAGATCGAGACACCTGTCCTCCACCTTAGAAGGACTTCCATCCAGGGACCTTCTAGAGCGTTCTCTGTGGTGTGAGCCTTGAATGGCTGCATGGGGCACGGGCCCTGCCACCCTGTGGACACAGCCCATACTGCAGCCCGCCTGCTGGGTTCGTTAATTCTGCAAATACCCACCACTCCGATGGGTTGACGCTGTGCAGCACCACGTAAGGCCGTACATGGGGTGGCAGAAGAGATCTGAAATATTTGCTGCCCTTCGGCATCCAGCTTTACGATCCATTTAGTTCTGTTTTTGTGCGGGGCATAAGCGGGGGGATCAAGGTTCGGGGTTTTCTACCTGCAGGTCCACTGGCTGAAAAGGGAGTCCTTCCCCCAGCGACGCGTAGGGACATCTTGGGTGCGAATGCAGGTGTCTCCTGTGTGTGGGTCTGTTTCCGGACTTCTGTGTCCTTTGCCCCACCAGTGAATTTGTCCATCCCTCTGCCCAAGCCACCCTTGCTTCATGACTGCAGCTTCCTAAGTCTTGGCGACTAACTGTTTGTCCCCCAAATTTCTGCTCAAGGCTGCCTCGGCTGTCCTAGCTTCTTTGCATTGTTATATAAATTTTAGAATCATCAAGTCAGTTTCTACCGGAAAAAAAAAAAAAAAAAAAAAAAAAAAAAAAAAGGCTGCTGGAATTTTAGCTGGGAATGCATCGCGTCTGTCGATCCGCCGGGGGAAGAGCGGCGCCTTCCCAGCCTCTCCGCTCCGTGAACGCGCCACGTGTCCCTCCCTCGCCGGTTCCTTGTAGAGCAGCCGTACGTCTTTGTCCGGCTTTTTTCCCAGGTACTACTTAACCACCAGTAGATAGAGACAGGTAAGAGACCCGGACGCCTCACCGGGGAGCTCGGATGGCAGACACACATGTCGAGAGCCGCTCGCTCGTCAGGAGGCAAGAAAGAGCAAAGTAAACCCGCGACCAGACGTCCACGTGAAGGCGGCACACAAATGTCCTCGGCAGTTTTATGAACAGCCCCAAGCTGGGGCCAACCCCAGAGCAAACCAGACGAACACGCGGACGCACCCACAGAAGGGAACACAACGCATGGACGCCCCTCAAAATAGCCACCCGCCCGCCCGGATCACCTCAACACCCCCAGTCAGAGGGGGGCCCTGGACAGCCCTTGGAGGCTGAGAGGCCGGTCTGTTCTGGCCAGCCCTGCTCCAGCGGCCACACACCTGGGGCGGGGGAAGGGCAGGGTCGGCGGGG